AACCAGTAGAAAATGTAAAACCTTAGAGTTATCCTGGGTCACTTTCCAAGCACCTGCAACAGCTATCGTGATGGCCAACTTGACTAGATTTAATAATGCCTGGTAGGTTAGTGGGGCACACTTCTGGGTGCATCCATGTGGGTCAGGGGATGCGACCTTGGAGGTGATATCTAGTACCTGGACTTTTCCTCTCTGGTGCTCGTTTCAACCTATTTTGCTTCCAGCCACCATGAAATGAGCACCAGGTTCCACCCTGCCCCTCCACCACCGCGTTTCTGCCTAGAAGCCAGCCAACCATGGACTGAACCGTCTGAATACATAAGCAAAAAGAAGCCCTTGCTCCTTTAAGTTACGTGTGTTGGGTATTTGGTCCAGGAATGCACCCATCACCCCTCAACCAGTGGGTTGCCAAGTCCCGTCAAGTTTATTTTTCAAATTTATTTTCTGAATACTCCCAGCCACATTTCCCCTTCCACAGCCTTACTGCCACTTTTTACTTCATTGTTTCATTTGAAAACATAATTCCTGGATTCCTGCATCTGAAACAACCTCTACCCTAAGCGCTGAAGACACAATGCTGAATAAGACTCAGGCCTGCTCCTGCAAGGAGAAGATAAGCAGGCACACAGAAAACTACAGTGCACTGTAAAAACGCCACACCAAAAATATACTATACAAGGGGCATCTAACCCAGCCTAGGAACGGGCGGTACACAGGACCAAGGAAGGCTTGCAGGCAGAGGTGACACTGAAAAAGTCTCAAAGTGTGAGTGATCTCAAACCTCACCCCTTCAGAAAATGTGTGTGGACCTCCACTACCCTGCACTTTGTATGTCCTCTTTGATTGCTTGCATTACACTGTCTAGCTGCTTGTCTTCACATTTGTCGCCACAGAAACCGGCAAAAGCAAGTTTTGCTTACCAACATTAACCTCACGGTGACTGTGCGACCAGCAGCTTGTGAGCGTTCGGTGGGTGTGCAGAGAACCAAGTGCTTTGTACTGTAGTGAGCAGCTCAGCCATGGGGAAGGGACATCAGTTACCGTGGGGTCTAATGATGGATACTCATTCGCGTCACAGCTCTGCATTGTTTTTGAAATGGTCTGATGCTCTTCCTGCTCCGAAGAGCCCGGCTTTCACTTCCTTTTCCTACACTGTGTGCAACAGCTGACCAGTCCAAAGGCTTCACTAGTCGTGAGGCAGTGCTTCCTACAGCCCCTTCCCCCAGGATATTCATCCACCACGGCTACTGAGCAGGGCTGATGGGGAATGGAGAAGGCCACACGGCCACCCCGCCGTCCTGTCGGGAGCCACAGCCGTCAGACCCACGGAACGACTGACTGTGTGAGTGTGCTTGCCTCCCTCCATCTCTGGAAAAAATGACAGGAGCGCTGAAACCAGTTTGAAGTCTGAACGCCGTGGCTTGACTTTTTCTAAACTGGTATCTGTAGGTAGGTAAAAATGTTCAGTTCCAATTTCATGCAATTCTAAGTTGGGCCAGAATGAGACAGTGGAAATTCATAACGGGGTGTTTCCCAGTATATCAGACACATTCTACCCAGAGGTCTGCAAGATGATTCCAAGCGCCGAATCCATTTCAGTTAAGAATAGTTTTAGTAATCTATCTTTGAGTCAGATATTTATTCACTTTCATTTACAGCAAGTAAAAATATGTTGATTTAAATGCACTGCTGTGCCAGTAACAGAGAGGTGCTCTTAGAGAATTAAGGCTGGGAGGCATTGTTATGCTCCAGTCCTCCAGGTTCATGTCCAACAGTGAAATTATGGCAGCGGGGAATGCCAGAGCTGGAAGAAACCTTGGAGACCATCTAATTCAATTTTCTGTTTTACTCACTCACTTAACAATATTTACTGTGTGTTTACTATGCATAAAGTTGTAGGCAGAACTGCCGTGAAGCAGAGAGACAGTCCAGGCAGAGGGACAGACATTAAATGTACAGCCAGTAAAGGAATTATAATTGTGTAGGTTCTATGAAGACATACAGCATGTATAAAACCATTAACAGCAGGGTGATGTTTGAATGAAATCTTAAAAGATCAGGAGAAATTAACCATACAAAGCAGGGCCTGGAGTTAGCATAGGAAACAGGGAAAAAAAGAGAGTAGGGGAAAGCTGAGAGTGTGGACCACACAACACCACCAGATGTCATGGGGAGCCCCATGGTAACTAACTGCAAGCAGAATCAATCCAGAAACAAAGACCCAGGAGGCAACGTGACCTGACCACAAATCCTAAGACTGTTCGCAGACCCAGGCCTCGGCCACTGTCTCCTGGGTCAACACAGTTCCCCCATGCTTGTGTACTGCCCTATGTTCTGGCCTGTTCAGGTGCTGGGGACCCTATAGAGAATGAAGCAGACCCAACGCCCCACCCCACAGGGCCAGTATTCAGACATAGAAGAAATATTCAATAAACAAACACAGATGCTGGCAGGAGAGAGCGGTCGCTCGGAGAAAAGTAAAGCAGGAAGGGAGCTTTGCTGAGGGAGGGTTCGGTTTTATGTGATGTGAATTCAGGGCTGGTCTGATCTCCTAACCTCAGTAAGGAATCTCTACATACTCGACACTGTTCACAGGTGCTCAGGCTCCCGCTACTCTACCCTGAGCTGAGGATTTGCTTCATGTGCCCTAATGCATGCTGATATTATTTCAATGGGACGGTCTCCTAGAAAAGCTCCAACAGGAAGGGTGTCTCTTTCTATGAAACCTAAGTGCATCTGGGGTTTATGCATCACATGGGCATTCAGCATAGTGAAGTCATTTCCCAAAGGCAATCTCGTGTGGCTCTAATGAAGTCCAGAGTGGGACTAGCACATCAGAGGGTTTCACTGCTGAGGTCGCAGTAACCTTTCCAGGATACTGTCTCCTCCCTGGACACAAAGACACCCGCTGTTCTCTTCTCAGATCCCTCTTCAGTATTCTACACTTTACTCAGACACACCCACCTGTACGTGTTCTCCTGGAATTGGAAAATGCCTTGTGTGTGAAGAGCACCAACACCTGGACACTGAAATTCCTGTACAGTATCCTGCTGACTGAGCCGCTTTTCAACTGTTCTAGGTACCCAGAAGTATTTGGAAAACCAACAATAAAAAACCACAAAAGCATTGAATTCAGTCACCTCAAAGCATTAGGGAGGCAGGTGAAATCTTAACTTTAGAGACCTAAATTGCATATAACAAGCACTTCTTTGCTGACGAGCTTCCTAGCCTCACTGATATCTAAAGACTCTCCGTAATGGGTTGTTTAAGAGTAATCTGTCACCAAGGCCAGCCAGTTGGGGTGCAGCCTCACTCAGGCATACAGGGAGCCTGTTCCTGATCCCCTGGATCCCAGCTCTCCCAAATGTTCCTCAGAAAAAAGACTCCCACTGCTGATAACCTATGTGCCTTCCAGCAAACCCTCGGCCACAGTGCGAGAAGAAGACCATCCAGCAGGTTCTCGCTCATCAGCCCCTCACCACAGCTTCCATGCTATGCATCTTCGAGCAGTGGGGTCCCCAACAGAAGCAAGGCGTGGGGCCGTAGAGAGGTGATAGGGAAGGCAGGAAGGGGTAACTCCGGAATACAAGATCTATCAAGAGAGATGCTTCCTTGTGAACGAAAAGACCACATGAGTCATAAGGACGGAAAAGAACTAGATGGTGGGAAACAGTGGGCAGCTGCCAAGGACACTGTCCACAAGGCCGTGGCGGCCCTGCCCACTCACTCCACAGGACACCAAGTCACAGGAGTGCCAGTGCCCAGCAGTGAGGGTGGAACTAGCCAGCTGCTCGGGGCAGACGGTCAGAAACTCCTCGTGTCCCCTACGCCATGTGCCAGTAGCGGTGAGGCGGAGCCCTTTAATGAACAATTCAATTAACTAAAGAGATCACTATGAAAATGAGCTTTTTAGACATCACAGAGGTGGCCTCAGACCTGTATTCTGGCTTTTATTTGGCCTCTGTTGACATTTCTAACTGTGCAGTGTGGCGAAGGTATATCATCAAGCTTCAGCATGGTTTCAGCTTGGTTTCTTGTGGCTTTTTGGCTTGGGTATCTGTCAAAGGTGTTCCTGGTAAGTCATCCCAGGTATTTCACCCGTTGACTTTTACACCCTGTTTGATGTCATAGGCTTCTTACTCACTGCACCTAATAAAATTACAGTCTGCAGTCGTGGAAAAGACATCTAGCAAAAAAAGAATGTTCAATTAAATTCAAACTTTGTTAAAGGTAAGTTTACACTGGGCATAACTAACAGTTATCATAGGCTTATATAAATAGTCATGTGTATAGTATCTAAGTCTCAATAACATTTTTTTGTATCATAGAAATCTGTCATTTTTCTCCCACAAATAATATAAAGTGTGATCACAATATGGGGTGAGTCTTTACATTTAAAAAATGTATTACAGTAACTTAGTACATTACCACGGACCTCCCTCAAAGTACTCCCCCTGGCTTTGAACACATTTATCCCATCATGCTTGACACTTTCTGAAACAGTTCTGAAAGTCTTCATTTGTGAGTGTCTTTATGAGCTGTGATCAAAAATATCATGAATGCTGTTGTCCCATGCCCTTCAACCAAAAGGTTTGCGAAGACATTATTATGTGTCTTCATCCATCTTATTCACTGAATCCGGCACCATGTATTTCTGGCTTTTCCTTCAAGTGAAAAAGTCAATGAAGGCTACTCACTTGAACTCTTCCTGAAAATTCAGGGAATATTCTTCTTATTTCCAGTAAAATTCCCCTAACCTCAAAAAAATGACAATGAAAAACAAATGTTTTGAACTGATTGGGACATAAAGGCAGCTATGACAGTGCAACTAAAGGCACTCACAAAAGAGGACTTCCAGAGCTGCTTCAGAGGGCTGAGGATTTAGCTCAGCGGCAAAAGCGCCTGCCTGGCAAGCGCAAGGTCCTGAGTTCGGTTCCCAGTACCGGAGAAAAACCAAAAAAAAAAAAAAAAAAAAAAGATGTCTAGAGCTGCTTCAGAAAGTGGGAAGAACAATCAAATAAATGTATGTTGAGCAAAGGAGATTATTTTGAGCAAAATTCATGGCAGTGATCTTTTACCATATATTTAAATAGTCACCATATTTTTCTATCACAGCTCATATATGAGTTAATTCAGTTTGTATACCTTAAATTATAGATTTATATAATGTGCTTATACATAAAATATCATGGTGAAAATATTCTCTGAACACATAGAAAATGTACAAATTTATGACAATTTACTTATGTCCAAATTTTATTACATTAAGTCTCTTTCAGCTATTCTGAATCACCTGTCAGTAATATTTATAAAACTTTCAAAACTAAATATGGGGTTATCAGTTATTTATTTTCTAGTGGCTCTTGTTGCATTTCAAAATTACTATCAAGTCAGTGTGGTTGGCTTCTTGGCTTATGAAATATTTTCTAATAGCTCTTTAATCCAGGACAGAAGAATATCCAGTTCACTGATGGCTTTATAAATTCCTTTGTGTCCAATCTGCAGATAAAATAGAAATATAAAAGCAGGAAGTTTTCATATTTTAAAACTCAAAGTATTCAAAAACAATGATTTTGGAATACTTACCCTATAAAATGTTCTCTTCATCCTGGTAATAGGTTTCATCTCTCCTCCTGATGAAACACAGGAAATCTGAGAAGGCAAGGAAGGGTAAATACAGATAAAACTGTTGTGTCTGCAGAGCCTCTTTTCCCCTGTATCTGCAAAGTGGTATGTTTATACACGGAAATGTCAAGATTAAATGATTATCAGCCTTTAAAAAATTGTTGAAGTTGCACTAAAAGTGTTCTTCCATACAATCAACAAATACTTGTTGAGCAGGTATCAGTAGATATGCCCTGGCAGATAAATAGTGCATGACCCTGTCTCACAGAGCTTCTAGTTTTATGGGGGAAGCAGATGATAAATAAGAAAACAAAAAATAAAAATTTCCAAATTACAATTACTGTTTGTGATGTACAAGGCTCTGTGATAAAGGTTTATGATGACAAAAACGGTTGGAGGTGAGTGACTGAGGCAGGAGCGAGAACAGTGTATTCTCTTCCCTAGCTGCTCCCTTCCTTCCGCTTCACAGCTGCCACAGCACAAGCAGCTGTCCTCACCCACACCCTCTACCGCGCCATTCCTGCCTTGGGGCCAGCCACCCATGGACCGAACCCCCGAAGCTGTGAGCTAGCTGAAGCTCTCTCCTCCTTCCAGCTGCACCTGCCTGGAATTTTCTCCTAGTGCAGGTTAAGTGAATGACACAGGGACTGAAATCAAGATCGGAAGGTGGAAAGCAGCCAGCTATACGAGCAAGCGAGGAGAAAAGAACGGAGCAGGAAACACAAAGGGAGCGGTCCAGGCAGAGCGGAAGGTGACGCAAAAGCCCTGCAGCAAGGAAGAGCTCGGTGCCTTCCAGAAAACGAGAGACAGAGCTCGACGGAACCATTAAGCAAGAGAAGTGCAAAGCACAGGTGATGGAGAGCCACAAAAACCCACTGTCTGAAAAATCACATCAGCAGTCATGCGCCACGCACAGCGCAGTGCGCAGTGCGGGGGTCCGGAGAGAGCACCGGGGAGGTCCTGCGGGCTTTTCTAGCAGCAGACCGACACCCGGAGACGTGGCTCACAGCCTGGCCGGGAAAGCTGCCAGCCCCCTCTGTGCAGGTAAATTTTCACACCCCACCTGAGCACAGAAATCACCTGGGAATCCAGTCGGAACAATTAACATACTCCTTGATTCTGCCTCGTGCTTCTACAGGGTAAAAAAAAGGAGAGAAAGAAAAAGAAGAAACCCTTATTTCCTTACTTTTTATTCATAAAAGCTTAGCACTGGAACAGACCGGAGATGCTCTATGGACTGACTATTCTCGATTTGAGAAGGGGAGGACGAGGCGCAGGTAAGTTGGTTACTGATCTGAGGTCCACAAGAGGTCCCGTCCTGATGACAAGATACTGTAACCCTATTAGCATATCGAAAAGATAACACTGACTTACAACTCGTAAAAGAGAAGCGGCTAAATGACAACACTTATTAGCATGAATAACACACAGCCAAGCTCAACCAAATGACCTTTTAATGGTCTTCATGGCAGTAGCAGTATTCTCTGTTTTGCCTACGTAGGGACTCTATCTTCAAGCAACATCCTATATAGAAAAGGAGAGACTTGCAAGAAAGGTCATGATTAGGCCCAGAAGCACAGTGTGCTCAACTTCTACGAACATGACACACTCAGGAGAAAGGGTCACATGCGGGGTTCACAAGCACAAGCTGAGACCTTCCTGTGCTTGAGGCCTGAACTAAGAGTGTGCCGGTACCAAACTGCAGCACAGGACGCCCCCTGGGGTGGGCGGGCACTCTAATCCGCTGTGAATGTGTACATGCTCTCTCGGTAAAACGTCTCCACACTGCATGCACATAAGCCTCTGCTTTTAACAAAGAGCATCACTCTCCGTGTTGCTATAATCACGTGCTAAGATTTAAAGACTTAACACTGAAGTGGGAGAAGCCCAAGAAACTCACTGAAGCCGGGTGTGGTGGCACACGCCTGTAATCCCAGCACTCGGGAGGCTGACGCAGGAGGATCATTGTGAGTTTGAGGCCAGCCTGGGCTACAAAGTGAGCTCAAGGTCAGCCTAAACTGCATAGCAAGACCCTGTCTCAAAAAAAGAGAAAAAACAAAACACAACAAAAAAAGAAACCCATTGAATTCTGGACACTACAGAAGTTAAACAGCATGTTAATTTTGAGAAGTGTTGGAAGACTTCCTACACCACTCTCATCGCCTTAGGAAAAAGTCAGGCTTTACTGACAGAAAAACTAAGAGACCAGTGCCACCCTTAGACTTACACCCTGGACTGCAGGATTCTTTCCAGTGCCTGGCACTCCATTTGCTGCAAACAATCTCTCTTAAAAATCTGACCCAGAATATTCTCATTTTGTGAATTGTAAATATTGCCCACAGATCCAGTAGCGTGGCTAGATTTTACTGCCACTATTCAAAGTGCTTTGCTTGGAAGAAGGAATTTTGCAAAGAATGATTTCCCCTTTTCATGTTTTTGTGTAGAGGTGCAGTTGCAGAAATGAAACGAGATGAGAAAAGAACGAGCGGTTTTCCTATAAGAATGGCTAGGCGGTTTAACCAGCTCACCTGGAACAGCGTTATCCAGCGTGGAACTAGAAAAATTAGAGATCAGCGCAAAGGAAAGCGTGAGACGGTCCTGCAGTAAGAAACACGCGGAGAGCAGTCTAATCGTTTGTCTCTAAGTCAACACGTATTTACTGTATCCTTAGTGTATGCTGGGCACGCAATGGTGCCTCCACCACACAGCCCTGAAATTAATTTATAAAAGCACTACATTATAAAAATGGCTCAGGACACTCACGATGACTCACAGCCTCCCAAGACACAGAAAATGACGCACAATTACAGTACCAGGTGACAAATACAACGAGCAAAACAAAAATACAGCCTGTCTGGGAGACAGAGGAGAGGGAACGGCCTATGGGACCCAGGACTGGCAGAAGGAGAGACTAAGAGGGCTGGGGCTGAGAGGGTGCCGGGGTGGGTGGGGAGAAAGGAGAGGGTGGCAAGGTGGCCCAAGGCTGAGGACGGCAGGGATGACTTCAACACATTTCAGATCTCAGCTGAAATCCCCAGACTGATTTATCTGCAGCTGAGCCCCACCCTGCAGCCGGGGGCAGCACATCCTCCTGTCCAGTCCCTGTCACAGCCCGAGACCATCCCAGCCCTGCTGAAAGCGTTTGCAGAGGCCTCTGCGAGAACGGAGACCTAGACTGTTGATTTCTGTTGAATCTGACACTCTGAAGTAGTGTTCAGCAAATACAAAGAATGAATGATAGGAAACGTCAAATGACTCAATTAGCAAACGAAATGCAGTCATCAGCCTCCTGCCTCCGCATTCACAGCCTCCTGGCTTAATAAAAGTGTGAAATATATCCTAGGCTTTAGTGAGCATGAAAATTCTGTTTAAAACAACCTGATTAATACCTAGGATAATCCTTAGCTTATGGCCCTGATACCTTCATGTCTTTGGGGTGTGGGGTCTTTATTGTAATATAGTACATCACTTTATAACCATATAGCCATTGGGGGAATGAAAAAGCTATATGTAACAGCTTATATTTTTAGGTACCTTATCATACAACTCCAGGTATGTGCAACCACTCTGTGTGTGCGTGTGTGTGCCCACGCATGCGTGCATGCAGTTTCTTAGTTGACCCTAATAGCTAAGATAATTCCTACTCTGACTATGGTCTTGGTTTTCTGAAACTTCAAGCAATTTCAATGAAAAAATTAAATTTACAAGGATGAATAATTGGCAGTGTCTCACAACCTGATAAGCTAGTTGCAGTTGATGATATAAATTACTCAGCAAATTGCCCACAAGAAAAAGCAATATAAACATTCTATTTGCCAAGACATCAGATTTTAAACGTACTTACACCCAATAAATATGGGAAAATGTGTCTTCATAATTACCAATTACTCTTCAGGCTCTCAAAATGTTAATTAAACTAGATGATAAAATCTTGAAAACTAATGAGAATTTTTTTCAGTTTCGACTTTGATCACTAGCAATTAGGCGAATTATCTCATGAACACATTGAGGCAACTGCTAAATTGCCTCTCAAGTCTGAGAGTGTTAGAGTTCTACACCAATCTTTAAACCGCCCTCTTATATCACAGGACAACTTTTTAAGTACCATGGCTAGAAAATATTGTAAAATCAAAAGAAATTTATATTACATTCAACTTATTTTCTTTGAATAACTGTACTATCAAACTAATCATAGTGAATTACCGAAGTCATATTAATTGAAAAGGCACTATTTTATTGGGTGCTGAGAAAGGCTTGGAACATTACCCGAAATGATAAGCTGACTTTCCAGTTCAGTGGTGGTGGGAACGGCGGAGGTAGTGGTCTATCACAATAACCGTCATGGTGCTGTATCTTAGAGTGACTCCAGACCATGCCAAGATTAAAGGGGCACAGAGCAGCACAAAGGCGGTAGCTTACAGAAGTTGGAAAGGTTTTTAAAAATAAAATAATTAAGTCTATGAGTTCATAATAAAACTGAGAGAAAATAACAAAAAATAACAACTCAGTAGTCATCATAGGAGAAGGTTTTAAAAACCAATCCCTTACATCTAAAACTCCCAAATGAAGAAAAAGAATTAAGTATTTACCCCGCTTCTTTTTTGGTTTTCTTGTTGTTTTTGTTTTTTTTTGGGGGGGGGGGGATAAGGTATCCCTTGGCAGTGCAGGCTGGCCTTGAACCCTTGAACTCACTGTGCAGCCCAAGCTAGCCTCAAATTCATGGCAAACCTCCTGCTTCAGCCTCCCAAGTGCTGGGCTTACAGGTGTGAGCCACCACACCTAATTCCTCAAAATGGACAAACAGTTAGTGAGGAGTAGACACTATTCGTAGAATTACCTCAGGTTATAAATAAAGAAGATATAATAGAATTTAAAAATCATTGTTTTGCTATGTCTTATCAATTAATGGATCTGGACAATAATCACCAGTGCCTAGTAACTATAAAAGTAGAGACCAAGCTGGGCACAGTAGTGAACATCTATAATCCCAGCTACTGAAAATGTTCAAGCAGAAGGACTACAAGTTT